AGGATTATTTAAGAACACTAAATTTGCTCCAAAGCAAATGACTTATGTTCTTGATCTTGGTCTACCATGTAACCTGTTTTTCTCACGACCACTCGAGAAGCCTTCATTTGAGTAGTACCTGAAAGATCTGCACTATAACTTATATATTAGAAGAAGAGTCTAGCGTCCACAGATACTTAAGTTTAGAAAAAAATAATAGTTTAATTAGAGAAATCTTCTACTGTTACAATAAATATTGTATTACTCGAATAAGAAGATCCTGTAGAGGTCTAAAAGGCGTAACGGAGAAATATATGGAAAATTTACAGAGTATATTGAAGGATTAGATCGTAGAATTTGAGGTAGAACTAACTACTAGAGTGAACAAGAGGCTCAAAAAGAAGAAAATAGAACAATACTATTTCTTGGAAGTCTGTGGAGATCTTAAAAACTTAATGCACAGCCTGGCGTTGCGAAAGTACCCTTAAGTAAATATACTGCTGGCCATTAAAATTGAAACACCATGAAGAAAGCAAATACAAAAAAGATATTTATTGTACATAAACAATATGGCATGAAAGCAAATTTAAATAAATCTGCAAGCAGTTTGGGGGTTTGCAGGGAAGCAAAATTAGTAGAAACAGCTGCCATCCCTGACAGCTAAAATGGTCATTATTCAGTTAGGCATGGAATCGAACTGGGCTTGGATGACAGAAACGGGTAACTCATTCCATGCTGCTTCAAGTCTGTTCTTCATTTCATCAACCGTATTAGTTGGAGAGGAGTGGCAGGCCAGTTTCTCAGTGACCCATGACTAGAATTTTTCAATGGGTGACAGATCTGGAGAGCGTGCAGGCGAGAGCAGACATCGAATACCCTGTGTATCGAGGAAGGTCAGAACACGACGTGCAACATGTGGTCTTGCATTATCTTGTTGAAAGCTGGCATTTTGGCAGGCCTCGAAGATGCGGCACAATCACTGGACGTAAGATGCCAGAAATATACCGATCTGTGTTCAAGTTACCGACGATCCGAACTAAGAGATGGGCGTGTTGTGTACCCAGTGGCTGTCCAAACGATCACACCAGGTGCAGAGCTCCTATAGTAATACTGAATGCAAGCAGGATACGCATAGTCTCCTCGGGGCCTCCAAACATTTATAAGTGACGGAGGGCGTGGGCACCATCCCTCTACCATGATGGTCAATTGGTATAGCGCCACGTCCTCCCTTATCTAGAGTCCGGCTTGAGGGGCCACACGCGAGCCTCGCACAGGACGCCCTGTTCCAACGCCCGGACCGTACCGTCAGCAGTCATGCCGACCAAATACCAACGGGGTGGACTCCCGTCCAAAGTGTCCGGGCCCAGCGTATATTGAACTCCAATAAAAGTTTACATGGCCGAACAGAGGCAGTAATACATTCGTTTGATATCATTGTGCATAAGTGCCACTCAAATGCATAATAATAATTAAAATAATAATAATAATAATAATAATAATAATAATAATTTTAAAAAAATTAAAATATATTTAAAAAAAACCCTAAAAGCATGAATACCTGAGAACTTATTGCGTGTGCATTTGAGTACTGAGTACAACGTTACCTGGATACTGAATACATTAATTTTAGCATACTTTTGTAACATGTTCATTCGCAACACACCGACCTAATTAACCACATAAATACGCACATAAATACATAAATACACTTAAGACATAATAAATAAATACCTAAATACATAAAAACCTGAGAACTGGTTACGTGTGCACATGAGTGCTAAATACAACGTAACCTGGAGACTGAATGCATAAATATTTGCATACATTTGCGACATGTTCTTTCGTACGAATCGACCTAATTAAAACACATATATACACACATATATACATATATTCACAAATGCCGCTTAAATACATAATAAATAAACACCTATATGCCTGAGACCAATTACGTGCGCACATGCGTACTAAATGCAATGTTACCTTGAATCTGAACACATAAATAATAGCAATCTAATAACTTTACATATTATGCATACCCCTGTTGTATATATATCAGTATGTTGCCAATATTTACTTTACGCATTTTTACTTATTGGTACTTATATCTTTGCATAATTATCATTACATAAGTTATATATATTGTAACCTGACTAGTTTTAATCGTGCCAAAGCGTGTGTCTCTTCAGGCTGCTTTATGCTACTATCACTAGGCACTTTGACATAAATCAACACCTAATGCCGAGAGTTTTGACATTATGTTGCAGACTTTTCGTACCAAATGTTTTTGTTTTATTAGGTACTTGCAATATGCCTGAGTGTTTGTCGAGGGAATAGTCAGGTGTTGCCCAGCAGTGAGTTGGCAAGTATCCAGACACTTATACGCCAATCAAAATACAACACGCAAAATTCGGAATCTTCTGAAAAGACGACATTTTGCCACTCCTGTATCCAGTTTTGTCGTTCGGCGCACTGTACGAGCGGATACGGGACATGCTGCAAGCATCCCCATTTCCTGATTTACGGTCCGTGATGTGGTTGTATGATTTTGCAGGGCTGACCTCACAATATGTCTGTCCTCTCGGGCGTTAGTCATTTGAGGGCGTTGAGATCCTGCATGCCGTTCAGTAGACCCTCAGCAACCCATTGATTTCATATTCGCATGGCAGTGGTTGAATGTCGACCAGTGCGACGGGTGATATCACAGAACGATAATCCGCACTCTCGATAGGCAACGATCCTGCCTCTACTGTATTCAGACACTTGTTGGTAAGCATTTCTCCTTATTCGAGGTATAATACGATATTCTGAACAAACTTCTTTCTTTCATGGATTTTCACGTTCGTCAGATAATTTCTTCCTGGTGTGTTAATTTTAGTGGACAGCAGTGTATAATAGAAGAAGAAATCAGATTGAAAAGAAATATAGCTTATAAGAGGGAGCTAGTCTAATATAAAAAGCGATTAATGAAGCAAAAATACAAGAGTAAAGTATAATACTTTATTAAAAGTAACAATCACTATGGTGTTCTTTTTAAGACAGCAACAGGAAGATAAAAGATAATTTTAAGTCCACATGAGGCAATGGGAAAACGGATATGGAGGAAATTAAGAGAAACAATATTAAAGAGACTTTAAATGTGGGCCCCGCCCAGGATGCAGTTTTACCCAAGTTATTGAAAGAATAAATGAATGTGAAGAAAATAAGTAAACTTTGACGTCGGACGGGATTAAAGCGACTGTTCCTCAAATGCGTGCAAAGAAATTTGCAGAACTAGATGGATCACACATTGAACTTGTAATAACTTTATAGGAAAATTATTCAGGGTTTTTATCTTACTGTACAATATATGTTTTAATTGTAGCCTTATAATGACGACCTTAACAACTACTAGATTCGTTTTGAAACCAAAAACAATGATAGTAGCTATAGATCAATATGTCTTTCAAAACTCCTCGGGAACATTTTAGATATACTAGTTTTAAAACCAAAGCAGTATTAACCCCCTCTGTAAAGCAATTCAAAAGGCTGCCACGGTAGCAGAGGTACCTATAAATCACCACTGCAATCGTGGCAGCCTCTTGATCAGGATCAGGATACGCTTCAGGCCACTTGATGAAGAAATCAATGACAACAGAGCTCTAGTTGTTGTCATCAGCAGTTCGTGGACGCAGAATCTCCAAAACGATGTGTTCAGAAATCGCTCTTAAACTGTAACTTTACAGCTTCCTTAGGTTGCGTTTCTTCGTTCTTTCCGACCCGCACAAGCATCGCAACGTTGGCACCACTTTTGCAGGTCAGTCCTTTCATTACTCTAGAAGAAGCACTCTAGAAATCTATTCAAAGTTTTCATTATTCCGAAGTGAAGTCCTGTTGGACTGATATGTAATTCTTTAAGGACGTCCGTGATCTGGGATTTTCGAAGAATCAGCTGCCATCGGAATGCCTTTCCATTATCCATTTCCAACGTCCGGTACAAGACGCCGTTTCAAATATGGAGTGAGCCCCAGCGAGCCCAGTGTTGTTTATCGTAGGACTATGGATTGAAATATCCTGCCAGACAGAACTAATGTTTGAAGGTTCCTTTAAGCCAGTTATGGGTTTAAGGTTTCTGTCTCTCAACTGGTCTTTATTGATTTCTCCGCCAGTCTATGGAGATCAGTCGATATTGGAGTTGTATTAAGCAGCTTGTATTTTGTTTCGAATCTGGAAAAACACTGGCAGCTTTCTGAAAAGCGTCTTCTGTAGAGGAAGTCGGAGTTTTCGTATGACGATTTCCTATGACGGATTGTTAAGCCATATTCCTGGAGGTCTCTGTATCCACCTGGCCTTCGGGATTTTTGAAATTTAATAGCCATGTTAACAGTGTATGATCTGTACGGAGCCGTAGAGTTAATGGTGTAAATATTTTAAAGATTTAACTATGACCGGAAACACTTTTTTAGTGATACAGTGATTCCTGCACGGTTTAGATAGACGCTTGCTCCAGCATGTTATGACAAGTTCTTGACCATTTATTGCTTGAGGCAAAACAGCGTTGACACTCTTATTACTCGCATCCGTGTCGAGAATAAATGCTTTGTCGAGCTGAGGTTACGTCAAGACTGTCGCATATATTAAAGCCTCGATCAGTTGGCTAAATGCATCCTCACATTCGTTCGTCGAAAACTTTTGTCTGCCCCTGTCGGTTTGTAAGGGGATTTTTAAGATAGAAAAAAGTCCGTCACAAATCTCCTATAGCAGGTGCAAAGCCTTAATTTCTCAGCTGATGAACATTTTCGGGGCATCTCCAATTTTTAACTGTTGACGCATTTTTTGGATCTGTCCATACACCTTCGACAGAGATGGCCACAGGGATCGTGCAGCTCTCGGCTCTATTGTACGGATTTCAAGTTCCTGCGAGGGCACTGCACATTTTTCACGTTTTCTGCTTTAGAAAAAACCTTATGACTCTACAAAGTACTTAATATTTTTAATAGTGGCAATAATAAATAGTTTAAAAAAGAAAATTAGTTATTTACCTGTGGAGCATCAATCATCAGTTGCTTGACAGTGGAATAGGTCTCATTGTAACTGTAACGTGGGTCTTGTGCACTGAACTGAAAACGAATACTGATCAGTTTGAAAATTCATAGCATGTTTAAGAAGGCTTAAAGAAGCAAGAAAGGAAATAATTATTGAGCCTTAAAAATTTTATTTCATAGAATGCAAATTCCTTAACAAATATAAAGGCAGATTTTTGGGCATTTTTTTCCTTAACTTTATAAATTATTACTGCACTAAGATCAATTTCTCTTGTTTACGCGATTTCAAACTTGATATGAGTTAAATATGCTTGAAAGTTAATTTCATATAATTCTTCTTTGTTATGCTACACCATAAAGTTTTATGAAATATTTTAGATTTTATTAAGTTTGTTTATCATGCATGAAAATTTAGCACATAGGGAGGGAACATTTCGACGCACCTGCCAGAAGTTAGAGCCGATTCAGCTCTATTTTACTCAAGGCATACAGTGGTAAATTGACGCAGTATGAGCGTCCGTTCTTGATCAACTAGTTTTGTACTTCTTGCATTTTCATGATATATTTAAAGTAAGAAATTTTAGTGAGATATTACATGTTTGCAGTGAGGTTATAGAAAAGAATCTGTAGCTTGCAATATGAAGGTTAGGTTAAAAAATATTTATTGTATTCATATGGCTTATGTTACGAAGAACACAGAAAATATATAAATCAAATATATTCAAAACAGTTCGTTCAGTTGCGGGCCTGCCTCTACCCGAGGCTGGGTGCATTATGAATAAAGAAAAAAAAGTTCTTAATAAGTCATTCTTTATTTCCATCAAAACAGTATCACTCTTCCGAGATCAGCTTTCGTTCGTCTACAAGCAAAATCATTCGAAACACTCAGCACGCAGGCTGACGTCACAAACAGCAGCGCCTCGCGCCGGTTATTACTTCAGTTCATTTCACAACATCCTCCCCCCCTTGAGACTCAGGTTGAGTCTCAAACTCATAACAAACATTATTTAAAAGATCAAGTCTTTTTGGAGCTTTTACAAGTCGTCCAGAGGAGGAATATTGTTGCATCACCTGAAGACCAGCATGACAGTTCTTATTATGCAAAATTTCTGATTAATAACTTAGTGAAATCACATTTTTCTGGTAACAGTATTGGATACAGAAAGGATTCATGGTCATCTCTATTTAGTATTCTCGTTTTAACTCTTAGAATACCATCATCATCAATGAGCGTTTCAATAAAATTATAATATTTCTTATCAGTCAGATAATAATTTTGAACCAAACGAATTAAATTTTTCTCAGAATTTTCAATTTCATACTGTGAAAGTTCAATGTTTCTATTCTTTTCAGAACCACCTTTACAATTATTTACAAATCTAAATATCCATGCAAATATTCTAATCATTTTGTCATAATTGGATACATCGATTCGATGCGTCTTTTGATTGATCAATATTCACTATTTTTATCTTTCTCCTCTCCAATTCTATTTCTTCATGCAAACAAATAATCTCACCAGTGGGCCAGTTTTCAGGGCCTTCTCGCAACCACAAGGGCCCTTCCCACCATCTAGACCGAAGCATTTGCTTCGCTAAACATCCGCGCGATAACAAGTCGGCAATATTTAGTTTCCCTGGGACATGTCTCCATGAATGACCTCGCGTCAACTCTCGAATCTCTTTAACCCTATTTTCGACGAAAAACGGACCAATTTCCTTGCTCTGTTATCCACCAAAGGGCAGTGGTTGAATCAGACCAGAAGGTAACTTTTAAATCGGGCAAACTGAGAGCCTTGATAATAGAATTTGCAAGTCTAGAACCTATACAACAGGCCATTAATTCTAAGCGAGGAATGCTTAAAGATTTCAAAGGCGATACTCTAGACTTCGCCCGTACGAGATTTATTTTTACTTCAGAATTAAATATTGATCGAACAAAGACGCACGCTGCATACGCCCCTTTGCAAGCATCCACAAATACATATAGTTCAGACGTGTCATTGATAAACAAGTATCGAGGCAAAGTAACATCTTTCAAAACATTAAGTTCTTTAAACCAGTTCAAAAATATATTTACATCATTCGGAGACAATTCATCATCCCATGCAATTTTCACTTTCCACGATTTTTTCAACAACAGTTTTGGAAGCAATGTAGTTGGCGTTAATAAACCAATAGGATCAAAAATTGTCTGCACAATTGCCAAAATTGTCCTCTTTTGTGATTTTCGTATCACAGGTCAATGTATCTGTGTCTGTGCAGCACCTCAGCGTATCATTATCCAAATTCCAAATTACCCCCAAAACGGAAGTATCCCCTGAATGTTTTGTCAACATTTATTTGTACCAGCCACATTGCTTTCAAAACCGCGCAAGTTAAAACATCCATTTGACATGATTTAATTTGGAATGTTCAATAAAACGTAAACTGTTCATCAATACTAAAAACACTAGGATAAACAATTATCCACATAAAATGACGATTTCAATTTTTGAGCAACTTCACTTTTTTGACGTGGACGTGACAACTTCACTATATTGACAGTTTTCTAATAGATGCATTATAGATGCGTTCAACAAGTAGGGGCTCGAAGAAACTCCAAACACAACTCTGCAATCCCTATAAATAATAATTGCTCTTCATTGCATGGGGAAAAAAAAAAAACAAAAATATGAGAAAATCTCTATCTTTAGATGCGACGGATAACATTAAAAGAGCCTTTTCAATATCGGCAATCTGATACATTCTAATACCAATCTGATACATTCTAAAACGATCTAGAATATCAGGCATTAATTCAATAAGATTTACTCCTTTACACAAACATTCGTTCAAAGAGAGTTTCCCTTTCTCAGATGCAGAAGCGTCAAAAACAGGACGAATTTTCGTGGTTTCACTTCCTAATTTGATTACAGGCCTATGCGGCAAATAATGACATTCATTATTCAGTTCGGTTTCTGGTACGCGTTCAATAATATTCAACCTTTCCCATTCCTTGAACACATTTTGATAATCATTCGAAAAATTTACTACATCTGAGTTTATAGATCATCTTTTGATACCTTTTCCAGGATAATTCTTTATTATCGGTTAAATGTGTCGTATCACATTTCCATGGAAGTTCTACTTCATATCTTCCATCTGGAAGAATTTTCATTTTGTTCTCAAATTCAGATAAATTAAAACTTTCATTCATTTTAACAGTTTTGTTTGGAGCGCATATTCCTAATTTTTCATGTTCCCATAACTCATTCAGAGGAATTTTCCTGACATGCATTGAAAATGTTTTCAAAATATTATCCTTTTCACCCGAATTTCGTTTTCCAAATACCGTCCACCCAAGTTTCATTTCAACAGCCGTTACCCCGGACTGTAATTCAGTAGAATTTCCCGTCAATAAATTTCCTATAACATCTGATCCGATTAAAAGGTTAATTTCAATTTCCTTTCGCAATGGATCAGAAAATTCGATTTCTTTTTCTTTTAATTCATTCAAAATCTCTTTATCTTTAACCTTAGGAATAAAACCGCAAATCTTATTTTCCGATAATGCCTCAAAACTACATGCGAATGTTCCTTTTAAATTGCTGACCTCGACCGAAAACACTTCATGTTGTTTAGGTTTCGTTTCGTCCCCCCCCAAACAGTGCATGTATAACTGTCTCCTCCCGAAGTGGAGATGCTTTAAGCTGACTCATCATATTTTCACTAACGTAGCTACTTTGGCTTCCGCTATCAATTATCCAGCGAATAATTTTCTCGCGACCTTGACACCGAATTCGAACACAAAGCGTTTGCAAAAATACAGTTTCGCTTCTGCTACAGTTAGAAAGAGGACTCTCTTTTGAAACATTTATCTGATCATTATTTTTTAGCTTTTGATTACACATTACATCAAAATGATTACAACTTTTGCAAATAGAACAACTTAACTTACCTTTGAAAGTACAAAATTTACTAATGTGACTCGCTCTTTTCAGACAAGAAAAACAAGCACCTTTTACAACAACAATTGTTTTTTTCAGCTAAAGTCATTTTTTTTTTTTTTGCAGAGTAACATTTTTCACTAAAATGTTTCTTTTCACAAAAATTACAGTTCGGAACACTCTTACCTGAATTCTCAAGACTTAGCTGATGCTGTTACGGGATCATTTTGCTTTACCTGTTCGTGGTTAAAATCTTTCTTCCGGTGTTCTGTTGGGAAGCGAAACGAGTTCTTGCGAGGAGAACCATCTTTTCCCCCTTAACTTCCTGTTTTAAGAAATTCATTAAATATTTCAAAGGATCGATTCCCTTTAGTTTCAATGGAGTTCGTGATTTCTGGCTTCTTTCCCATGCCATCAATACTTCTTCTGGTAAGCAACTTTCCACTAAGGGGGTCAAAAAAATCGCCTATATTTTTTTTGAGTTCTCCCCAAACTTTCCAACGCTCGTCAATTTTCCTTCTAGTTCATCATAACAGGGAGGGTAGATTCCGTTTTTGCTCTTCCGGTTACAGCGTTCTTCATCACTAGGCTTAACAAGTCTCTCACATAGATTTGCACAAGTAAATCTTCGCGTCCAAAGCGCTCTCTTAGTTGTTCGATGGCTTTAGGATAATTAGGTGCCGTTGCCGGGAAGCTAAGGACTAAGCGTTCTACTTTCGATTTGGGTTCCATGGCCTGCAATAGATACTGCATTTTATCTTCATCGGCGATACTTTTGTCATCGTGGATTTTCTGGAACTGACTCCAAAACGTCAGGTGATCTTTAGCTTCACCACTGAATTTTTTTAAGCTCAATTTTAGGCAATTTAAATTTCCTAGATTCGGAATTATTTTAAAGAGAGGAGGCTTGTATTTCCGCATCTATTTGAGCACACTGTTCTAGAAACTTATCTCGATAATTCTCCGCTTCTTGAAAATCATCACTAAATAATTTTTCTCCATCTTCAGTCTGCAAAATCTGCTGCGATATAGCACTCTAGCATACGTCAAGTCTCTGGAATTTATCACAAAGTTGACACTTCAAAATCGAAAGTATTTTTAAATCTCTTACTTCTTTAGTTAATTCACTTTCGGTTTTCCTTGAGGT